ACCAACAATTTTGTCCACTTGTGTATACACCACTTATCGCAATCCATGTTCGTCACTGATATTCAGCACAGCAAACCACAGCGAAAAACAGGAACATGGCCAGAACCCGTTGCATGAGACAGCGTTTCGTGTTTTAGCAGAAATTCAGTTATTTTGGTGAAAAAAAAAAAGTTGTTCTTCCTAAAATCTATTTGAATGGTCACCTGTTAAAAAAAAAAAAAAAAAAAAAGAATTATTTAAACTGTATTCATTTTGGATGTTGGAGGAGTGCTAAAAATATTAAACAGACAACAACAAAAAACTGTACAGATATGTCTGGCAAGTGTCGACCAACTGTGTTTAGCATGAATAACTGAGTAAAAAGTGTGAGTGTGTTGCAAAAGAATACAGTCCACAAATTACACTTGATGTTTTCAAAAGTGAGCTTTTTTTTATATACATTTTTCTGCCAGTTTTCTCTACATAAGAGCTCCAGACTGCATATCAGTTAAACCTAAATTTGCCATTCAGTCAGTTACAATTGTGTTGTACAGTATCTTAAAAGATATAAAATAACCCTAAACCATTGGAAAGCTTTCTGACAATTTTATCTGGTTTTGGCCTTTTGACTAACACAGTAACAAAACAATACAATAAAGACTTGTGTGATCAGACTGTGCAAAAACATATCTCTTCCTTTTCACGTCATTTTAGTTTTGCTCAACTTCTAGTGAAACGCGTTACTTCTCCCTTCCTCTCCTTTACATCTGTCACAGATCAACCGACGGCAGTTTGGATGCAAATGAGCACATCCACGTGCACTACTAGCACATGCACAGACATTCACGTGATCAATGGACACAGAAACACGGAATATATTTTATTGATAATGCACAAAACAAGTTGCAGGACAATGAAAAACATGCAGCACTTCAAGATTACAGCACTTATTATGAAGTATGATGTTCTGTTTCCTACCACAGAATTGTTGCACAAATGAAAGTCATCATCATAGACACACACAGTATGTATTGCTTCTGGAAACAGAGAGCAGATTTCACCACTTCATCCTGTTTAAAAGATTGCCATACCTGATAGCCAGAAAAACATGTTTTGTGCCGTTTTGCAGTAAAAGGTCAAAACTAAGAGGAGAACAAAGGTGTTAAAAAATGGAAACACTGCAGTGTCTCAAAACATTGCATTAGTAAAGGATTTGTAGGTCTTTTCATTTCATGAAGTCACAAACAAGCTTTGCAAAACTGTAAAAACAACAAATCTTAATATTTGCACCAGTTCTCAAAGCAGTGAAATGAAGGCTCCACCGAAGCAGGTTTCTCATCAAGCAATTTGATGGCAGATTCTAGTTTTATGTCTTTTTCTTATAGAACGTGAACCTGTTGGACTTAATTATCAATAATCCTTCAAGTTGTTTAATAAAAATGCGGTCCTACATGTAAATGTTACATCTGGGCAATGGCATGATCCTGAAGCCCTGAAGTGACGAACCAACTTTATTCATAGTCTTGTTCATCATCTACATTTTCTATATACAATCAAATAGGAGACTAATTACTCAGCAGTACTGTCTAACTGTTAACGTGATTCGAAGGACCTTTTGTTTTTTTAAATAAAAGTTTTAAATCAGGTGGGAAAAAAACCCAAACCTGGCTCTGTGGAAAGTTAACAAAATCCACTTAACCACCTAAATGTAAAAAAAAACACTGCCTTAGGATAGGACATGCCTTGACACATAACAAAGAAGATCCAACATATTAATAAGTGGTACATAGAAATGCTTTTGGCAGCTTTTAACAGAACCACACTAGAAATTTTATCGTGTTGTTTGTCTTTCTGCTAAGATCGATTACCTGTCAGCTCATGCTACGTATATTGTTATTGATGTTTTTTTCCCAAAAATCAAAGATTAATCATTAAAATTCAGACAGTGCACATAATTTTAGATGGGACATTTGACTCAGATTTAAATAATCAAGCAGATCCTTCTAAATATTAAACAGATGAAAAAATCACCACCAGCTAATCACCCATCAGGACTTAGAATTCACCATTAACGGAGGTGTTTCTGGATCTGATACTGCTGACAGAGCTCTTTTTGTAAGCCATCTGAAGCCTCTTGCTGATGAAGCCGTGTTTGTAAAGTGCTAAGAGCAGCTGGTTTCGGAACTTCACCCCGATGAAGGCGTACAGGACCGGATTCACTGCACAGTGCATGAAGGCTAACACCTGGGTCACATTCAGCACCACTTCCACTCTGTAGATAGTTTCACACGGCGGGGACTCGATTGTATCGCCTCGTATGAGCGTGTCGATCAGCACGGTGACGTTGTAGGGCAGCCAGCACACGATAAACGCCAACACCACTGCCAGGATGACACGCATGGCCTTGTGCTTCTGTTGACTGCGCGTGTGGAACAGCGTCACCACGGTCCAGCTGTAGCAGACAGCCATCACCACCAGGGGCAGGAAGAAGCCCACCGTGTGCCTCAGAAGACGTATGCTGACTCTCCACTGCTCACTGCTTTCGTTAGTGAGGTTTTCATAGCAGACGAACTGCTCAAGGAGGTCATCGTACGTGCTCTCCCTCTTAATCGCCACAGGTAAGGCCAGCGCTCCGGCCACCAGCCACACAACGCCGCACACCACTTTGACCAGCAGGTGATGAGAGGGCAGCACTCGAGTGGCTCTCACAATGGCAAAGTAACGGTCCACGCTGATGCACGCCAGCAGGAAGACGCCACTGTACACCGAGGCCTCCTGAAAGCCTGACAGGAGTTTGCAGGGGAGGTTGCCAAACATCCAACCGAAGTGCTTGTCCACCGCCCAGAACGGGAGGGTGAGACAGCAGAGGAGGTCTGACAACGCCAGGTGCATCAAGTAGATATCTGTGCTGACTCTACCTTTCCTCATATAGTAAACCACGTAGATCACTACGCTGTTACCAAAGAGGCTGAAAACAAACACGATGAAGTAGACGATCATCAGGCCCAAGCCGCTAAATTCAGGCACATTTAGGCTGCAGGGAGTAGATGAATCATCGTCTTCCCAAGAAATCGTGGAGTTCTGGGTTGCACTGAGGTACTCCTCAAGTAGTCCCTCGTCGTCATACTTTGAATAGAAAAAAAAAATCATTCTAGTAGGTAAGTAGCACAAGAAGCATTTCCAGTTCCAGATCTTATCAGCCTAAAGCACACACAGGGGTCCTGATCCAAAAATGGAACAAAGATGTGACCTAAAAAGTGCTTTTTTAGAGAATTCACTTCAAATACTTTTAGTATGATGTGCTCATCTGATACTGATGTTAATGAGAATGAAACAAGCTAGCACTACATCCAAATACAAATAGAGTGGATTTAAACCCAACAGCTGTTTTAAAAGTTAGACATTCTTCTTTGCTTTCAAGAGGTTGGTGAAAAAAAATCCACACCACCCTCATATATGTATAAGTCCTACAGATAAGAGCCACTTGAGCTCAGCATGCAGAGTAGAAACAAAGAAAATCAGCAAGCCACACTCTGTCCAAAGACAATGAAGTCTGTGATCAAGAAATAGCTCTGCATGCCAACTGAACAAAACATCTTCACACCTTTATTTTCAGCGTGTGAAGAGTCTCCATCAGTCACCACAGCAATTTCCTGACTGATCAGTGTATGAGATAAATTCAGTAAACTTGAATTGCTTTAAATTTAATAAAATTTGGCTGAAGAACTTGACCATTGTTTTATAAAGAATTTGCAAAACAAGCTATTTTAAATTCTCAATAATGTCATTTAAAAAAAACAGTCTCACATCCCCTCATTATGACAGTGTTTACGATGCAATTGTACTGAAAGACGATGACAGCAAACTATTTCTTGGTCCAACATGCACGCAGCTCTTTTATCATTTTATCACATTTACAACAAATCAGCAAATTCAAGAAAACCATAGTTTTACCTGCGCTTCCACTCCTGCTTGATTGACTAGCAGCAAATACTTCAACACAGTAACTGTGAAAAATTGTCGCTTCATCCTTCTGTTTTTTGATGTGCACAAGTTAAAGAAGAATAAAGCAACTTGTCAAGGAGATGTGGGTTAAGTCCTTATCTGTGAGGTGTTTGCAGAGGAGTGTTGGGGGTAAGTTAGCAAACGGTATGGGTCGAAGGAAGTAGGAAAACCACTAACATCCTCTTTATTAGCCAATGAAAAAGACAAACCTGTCATCAGGTTATCTCCTCTAAATCTTTGTGTTTGATCACACTGGTGCATCTTGAACGTGCAAAGAGGCGAGACGAGCTGAACCTGCAGAGCAATGTTGATAATGTAACTTATTTGTGTTTGTCTGTCTAATAAATGAAGCTATTTAGCAAGTAAAGGTACAAATGTTGTTATAGCTGCAGATTTTTGTGTACAATGAGCCAAATTCACAGTTTAAACTTTCAGGAAACCAGAATTTAGTCCTGAACTAAATAGTCAGTTTGTCTGTCTTTTCTTCTTTGGATAAATATAATTAAATTGCATTTAAACATTTGTGACTTCAGCCCCACACTTCAGACTGAAACCAGTCCCTTGCCAAAATACAAAAAAAAAAACACTCCATGTGCATAGCATTTACAGAGTATGTTACATATATACAGTATACGTTCGATGAGCCGATGTGGTTTGGGGAAATGCTTAGTCAGAGACCAGCAGTGGCTCCCGGGCCGGTGGAATGCCAAAAACATCCCACAATAATGGAACAAAGAGAGGACAAAACGTGGGTCTTGAGGGTTGGAGGCAGGTACACTTAAGGCTGGAACTCCTCGGCTGGAAGCTATGTCGATACAGAAGGAGTGGCCAGAGAACATGCTAGGATTCTGGATGTTGTTAGGACTTGCTTGAAGTGGAAGAGGAGTCGGGATAAGGTTGCGACTTGACCGGTCTCTGTCATGAACTGAGTGTTGTAAGCATCCTGAGATTTTCTGGCTTGTGTATGGTGTACTAAGGATTTGTAAGGGCTTGGGTGTGAATCTAGTTTAGAGTACACAATATGTGGATGCCTTAGGATAGGTGGACAGATGTCAGAGGAAAATTAGCATAATTAATAAATGATGCTGCAGAGGGAATTTTGAGTCCCTGATGGAGGTGAGCAATAAGCGATGGAGCTGGATAACGTAGCTACATTGAGTGATGAAGGGAAAAGCAGAAGGGAGTGAAGGGAGTCAGGTATATCGTTGCAGTAGCTGGAGAAGTGCTTGACACAGCGGAGGAATGGGTTGGAGACTGACCGCCACATGAGGTGCTGCACAAGAGGCATGAATGTGGGAGAGTTGCTTCGACTTTAGTTTATAAAGACGATGAGGGCGAGGTTAGAGTGGTGAACAAGGATGGATTATTGCTTGACTATTCATGGCTCTATGAGAGGGTAGTGTTAATGATGGGGTAGATTTTTGAATACCGCTGAAGACAGTATTCACTGACTTCTTTTCAGTAATATGGGGACTGGCCAGTAAACATACAACTTTGTGCAAAGGTTTAACCCCAGTCCTCCAAAAACCTGCTGCTATCTGCACTGAAAGTGATGGAGAATCTGGCATCGCAGTGTCTACAAGCTGGAGGGTTGTAGTTATGGTAGATAGTGACACTGCCATCCTGGTGAGAGGAATCAAGGCAGGAAAACTGATGACTGTGTCACGGGGGGAATCGGGGAACCCAGGACACAGATTAGGCAGACAGGCTGGTTGAGTGTAAAATAATTTAGTACAAGCAAATACAAAAGTGCAAACTAAACTGAGTGGAAGGACGAAGCTATAAAAACTCCAAACTAAGAACTGAGGGGAAAAAAAACCAAATGAAATCCAGGACAACAAAGAAAGTTGCTCGAACAAACGGAGGTACTCAAAAAAGGGACAAAACAGAGGGGGCAGACAGGCTCGAGGAATCCAGAGAAAAGCCGGTGGCAGGAGAAAGCTGGCTGGTTGAATGCAGGCTGGAAACGGAGCAGAGACTGGCAGAAACGAGCAGGACAAATGGCTGTGGTCTGGCAGGGTGTGGTGGAACGAGCAGAGTCTTTATAGTGGCGGTGGTGATTGTGTGCAGGTGAGTCCAGGGTTGCAGCTGAGGGTGATTGTCCTGATTAGTGCTGAGATGCACAGGGCAACCTTCTTGCTGCGAGGCAACAGTGCTACCAACTGCGCCACCTTGCAGGCTGGGGGGTCATGACAGACTGATGTGGCATAAAATGGTTGTGAGGGCAGGCAAGTCAAGATTGACTGCTACTGCAGAAGAAGCAAATGTGCAGGTGTCTGTGCTGAGGTGTTAACCAGCTAGGTTAAGACTGTTGCAGTAGTAGGAAGCTTTGTGGTGGCCTTGGGAATAGAAGCTGGTGGTGATACTGTACAGTGAAGATGACTGAAGGAGAAAGATCTGCTTCAAATTGTGGACAGTATGTGTGGGGGCTGGGTAACTCAATTATCCTCATTTGTGACGTATTAAAATATATATTTTGGGGTTTTTTTCTTTTGCTTTTATTTATAGCAGTATAGAGAGAGAGGAAAAGAAGAATGGGGACAGCACAGGATCGTCAGCGGGATTCGAACCCACGAGCGTTGGGTCGGGGAACTATAGTCCTTGTTTATGTGCACCCGCTCAATTAGGTGAGCCATAGAGGCACATTGTATATTAGTTTTAATGTAATCCTCACTGGGCTAGTTACTGTCACACCATCACACTTTAAGGGCCTTTAAACCCCGTTCATCTAAATGTATTTCATCATCTTTCCAGTTATTTGTGGCAACAGAAAAAAATCCAAATCGGAGTCACTGAGACTACATGATGCAAGTGATGAACTTTGCCACAGTCTTGAAAGTCTTAAGACCAAGATCGCTCAACACGATGAATCCTCCCTTTGTTCTGGAACTTCACAAATGCAATTAAATTATCTCGCATCTAGTCTACAGCAGCAGAAACAGGAGCTGGTTTGTAAAAACAGAATGGCATGGCATCAAAATAATCTCATGGCATGTTCTGATCAGAGTGTTGACAAATTGACAGTATATGTGTAAACGGTTTGGGACTATTTGTCCACTAGGGGGCAGCAGCAGTCTGAGGTGCATAGACGAAATACAGCTGACCTGTGGAAGGAGAGTCTGAAATCTAAATAAGGAGAGCATTTTGTTAGTACATTTCATGTAATGTGCGAGCTCTTTCTAGTGTCATCTGTAACTCTGAAGGGAGTTTTCTCTGGTCAGACATTATTTAAAACAATATTGGATGTATGGATTGTGAAAATAGTATTTAGGAGGCTGTGGAGTTGTTTTATGAAGCAGGTAGAAACCAGTATTTTTTAGCTTGACCCACACAAAGGACTAAAAAGCAGGATATCCCAACCTCTGCTGTCTTGTCTGTGAGTATTGTTTTTTAAAAATCTGCCTCTTGTGATTCCCTCAGTTACATGTAAGTACATCACTTTGTTGCTCAGGTAGCCTTTTGGACATTATTTGAAAATGTTAAATAAGGACAATATGGACAAAACAACACAACAGTTAAAAGAAATAAACTACATTGATCCATTCACAATCCCTTGTCAAGACAGCAAACCCACATGACAAAACTTCAAAATAGTCGCATCTATTACTGAATGTAGGGATGTGTTAGGTCTACAGTGACCTATGTTGATGGACTAATGAATGGACTGAGTTTCTGAGAGTCTAAGGAAATGAAATCAAAAATATGGTTACCCTTTTTGAGCGTGAAATTACTGATAATGAATGCGAAGTACATCTCGTAGAAATGAATGACTTTTTCATATCTGATCAAGCACTTGACCCCATTTGATTATTAATAGGTGTCATATTATTTGGTGGAAAACATCAGCAAAGGGGCCTCTTCTTGTTATGCATAATCGTCCATCAGTTTGACATCAGACTGCTAAAATTTGTAACTTTTCTTCCATGTAAAATTTCTTCCGTTAAAAGGTGTAATTCAAATCTAGACCTTCACTACTTTCACTTTTGGACAGATGACCTCCTGTTATCTTCAAACAATCTTCGATATGGTGAGAATCAGATGACAGTTCAAAGTCGAACCACTCTCTGAGGCAGGAGAACAACCCCAAAACAGAAGATTTGCACCACCAAGCTAGTCTGAGGATCTTCTTCTAAAAAGCTGCTAAACAAGTCTGTGTAACTGTGATCAAACAACCCAAGTTCTGATCTGTCTCTTCAGAGCACATTATTCCAAAAGGGCTGCTCTTTGCTTTTAAGTCCCAACTGTTTGATTGCTCTTTTTGCACAGCAACTTTTTTTTTTCCTCCTCTAATAGAAGTCAAATTTGTGAGATACCTTTCTACCAGCAGTTTAAGAGTCCACCATATCCTGTGATGAAATGTTGGAGGCCTCTTTTGCTATCAAGCAGTTTGCTCTTGGACTGAATTATGCTAAAGACTCCAGTCTTGGACAAACTGGCAGTTCTATTTTCCTTTTAATGATATGCAGATCTTTTAAAATCCCTCTTCCCTGAAGGTCTTAGAGAGTTCTTTAGATCTTGGCATGATGACACCACACACTTGAATAGCAAAGAGAGCAGCAGACCGTAGATGTCAAAGGTTTAGGTTCCACCCGACTGAAGTTTCTAATCATTGGCACCTAATCTAGAACCCCTGATTTATTTTTTTTCTTTCAAATTATGAAAACAACAGTAACAGTCTTGTGATATTTGTTTGAGTAGATCACTTATATTCCCACATGCTTATTTTACTTCATTCAGACATTTTCTTCACAACATCAATGTATTTATATCAATGTGATTTACGTTTGGAGTCCACCAAGCGATAAAGGTGACTTCTAGATGAACAATAACGGTTCAAAACTGCTTGAAAGTGTTGAAGACAAACTTGTAGAAAATAGAGAACACCAAAGTTAAATGCCACTTCTATGAACAAATGGCTGACTCTTAGACAAACAGATGTCACACTGAGTTTTCTAGTATCACCACTATAAGACTCACCCAGTTGTGAGTCCTGGTGACTCCGTACAACCCTCCTACCTGCTCTCAGTGCCGACTAAACAAAAATGTTTCCCTGTATAACCCCTCCTCATCCATTTAAAGACCGTCGCCTTTTTCCATCT